TCATTAGCTCACAGTGTAAAAACACTGATAGCCATGGGTGGGAGACAGCTGGGAGCTGGAGAAGAATTAGAGGCAGTAGGATTACAGCCTTTTGAGCGTGAGAGCACACAAGGTGTTCCATGAGAAAGAAGTGGAGCAAGTGGGTATGAAGAGGTAAAAGATAAATACAACATGATACTAAATACTGATGACACACAATTATAAAAGCAGCCTGGTGATCTAGATCTGAGGTTCCTGAAGACAACTGCTTGTGTAGGCTAGCCATCTTGTGCAATGTCCACATGGTCCATATCTCTGCCGGAACACTTTTACAGTTGTTATGCATATGGACTGCTTGCATATCCTTCCCGTCTTGGTCATTAAGAGAAGGAGGGTATACAACACTACACATAATGTATAAAGCGGTGGTAAAAGTCAGCGTGGGTGAATTTGCACAGGCAATCACCTCAAAACTGCTAGTTACAAGAAACTTCATCCAGAGGTTTGGATTTTTGCTAACTGCTGATTCCTCACAAGACTGTGAAGAACTTGAGAAAAGATCTAAATGATGACTTCAGCGCTACTACATTGACACCAGCACTCTTTGGTAGATCCCAGTAATGTGGAAGGAGTACTGCAGGTAGCTGTAGAGGTATTTTCTGAGGAAGGGTTAAGCAAGCTGTCTGAAGGTGAGTCTCAGATTTAGTGACGTATAGTATAAAGTCTTCTGGAAAAGAAGCACTATATGATAGTACATCTCAAGAGACTCTTATTCACAAGGGGCAATGGGCAGGGAAAAGGCTTCTTAATAGCCTTTAGGTAACCACATCTAAGCTGTATTTCCTAGTATTTCTTTGGGTTTGGAGAAGAAATTTGGCCAAACTGGCAATTTTGGCAAATTAGAAGAAATCTCTAGTCTGGACATAATGTCAGGTTTGTAAAATAGAACACATTTATTTAGCATTTTTTTTTTACTTTGCTCATTAAAAAAAATCAGTTTCACCTGGGAGCAAACATATGAGGTTATCTAAAGAATTTCTAAAGTGTAGTTCATCTCAGGATATTTATTTCAGCTAGCTTTTATGCATAAAAACTTTGATTAGTTTTAGAAGTAACACTTGGGCTGGGTAATCATGATACATTTTCCCAAACTGTATCACATTTGGTTATTTCGAAGCAACCAAAATGAAATTTGCTGGGATAATACAAACACATAAGCACACTTTTAAGCACCTTTTTCTAAATGGAGTTGTTATACTTAGAACAACTGCATCTAAAATTATCTAAGAGTACACAAAATAGTAAACCAATAGCTTAGATTAAATAAATACAATTTTTTTGTAGTAGAGGTTAGATAAAATTCTCTAGCTGAGAATAATACTTCACAGTGTCAATGTTGAATAAGCAACAACTCCAGTTCCATTCAAGTTAGCAGCAATGTTATGAGTCATGTTCTGGTATTAGAGAAACCTTCCTTTGAAAATTTCAAAGGCAGATGTAACAAGGTGCTTTTTGATGATAAATCTTCGCACATTCCCGCAGTGACTAATGATGAATACAGCTCACCGTTTCTTGTGTAGGTCTTTTTACTTGGTAGGAAGCCATGTCAAAAGCCCTCCTAGATCTTTATCAGGCTTTTGGATTCAATTTCCTTTTGAGTTTTGATTTTGGATTAAACAATGGAAGAATCACAGTTATGATATTATTTTCCATAAAAGGATAAGATTTTGCAGACTGTCCAACATTTCTTTATTCTTTTCACTAGCTTAAGTTCACCTTTCAGATTTTCACATCCCTTAATGTCCTCTACCCAGCATTATCTTAATATTATTTATAACGTTTGGTATTCAAAATCACATTTTTGCATGCTAAATTTTTACTAGTTTTACATTTTTCAGAAGAGATTTTTCTCCCTGAGCAGTTTACTTCTATAAGCACATTTTGACTGCAAGAGAATGTGAGAAGAACCTGTTTTATAGTATTTTTTATAAATAAAATCTTCTATTAGATACTGGTTTTATTTTTCATGCTTCTTAATCTAGTTTTTATATTACCTAGAAGAAAACAGACCAGTTTAAACTCTATACACCTAAATGATTTCATATCTTTTGAATACTTCTTAATATTTTATTGACTTTTAATTACATTAAATTGTCCAGATAACTCTGTGCTCTTTCAGAAAGCTCTTCTCCAATCTGAGTAACAATACTATTTTGCCTTTAAAACATATAATTCTGTTCTTTGCTTAAAATTATTCCTGTTTCGTATTTGGGCTCTTCACACAAAAGTACTGGAACAAAGACTCTTCCCTTCATAACAGAGATATATATTCAGTGTCTCTCAGTAAGAAAAGGGAAGTGACATCTACTGTCCAGAGAAAGGACCTCTAAAACGAGGAGAGATTATAAAGAGAAATTAAGTTGATTTTCTATTCTTATTCAACTGACACAACTTCTTTTTCAAGCAAGACATGTGGTGTAGTAAAAAATGCAATAAACGTTCAAGACTAAATTCAAACCCTTTAAGCAAATGTCCTGTCATACCGCAAGAAGATACGGCCTCAAAGCTGGTGCAAATACTTGGGAGTTCTTCAATGAGCGATGCCCAAAAGAGTTCGCCTTCTTGCACAGCAGCTGATGCAAAGTATCTGGAAACAGAGACCTGTAACATGTATGCTCTAACAGTGGGTATATTTGTGCTCAGATATTTAAAAAATTTTACTTCACTGCCTCTGCAGCTGGAACGTTCTAGTCTCTCCCTTCTCTCATGGTGCTTGGCATATGATGTGTCTGTTGCAGTTACAGCTGCCCTCAACAGAAGGTCATACCCAAAATGTGACCAAAAAACAGAGGAAAGGCAGATGTGACACAAATACCATCTAGAATATTGCTTTTAAGTAGAAGTGAGCCTTCTCCGAGAGTGAGTGAGCAGATGAAAAAGAAGGGCTCCAAACACAAAAACTCTGGTGTAAAAACTGTGTCATCACAAGCAAACAGTGAAAACAGAAAAAGGAAGAGCTTTCCCTCATCTTGAGAGTATGAAGCACAGATTCAGTTCTAGAAACCTTGTGGCTTTTCTGATGAAAATCTGATACCAGCTGACGGAGGTTACTGTGGGGAGAAATCAGGTCTTTGAAGAAAACAGCAAACCTGAGCCAGTCATGAATCTTTCTCTGCAGTAATTGCTATGAGGAATGACTCTGCAGCTCATGCTGTCTTGTTTTCTGTTGTCGTTGTTCTTGTTTGTTTGGGGTGTGTGTTAAAAATGTAGTACATGGTGGCAAATTATCTATCATCTATTCATGCAGCTGCCAAAGATGAGGTAGGAGGACTTTGGACACAGTGGGTACCCACACAGAGGTGTAAGATACAGTTACGAAGGGCTTGCTCTTTCAAAGACTGTTCATCACAAGCAGGGCACACAATGGAACATGCTTCCCAATCCAGGGAATCTATATAATTTTTTTTACCTCATCTATCTCAGGGTATTTCCTCATCTACCATCAGTAAAACTACTGCTACAGGTGAGGAGGACACCCTCCAGGCAAGTTTGGCATGAGGCATTAAAAATACATATTTTGCCATATGCCCCAAAAAGGGACAATCTGGGTGAAAGCCAACAGTTTCATAAATACATCCAACAAAAGAAAAACTTCGTGGCACAAGGGCCCAGTACCACCCTCATGAACTTGGCAGGCTAAGCAGCAATACAAGAAGTTTCTGAACTTTGACAGGATCATGGAAAAGTGACAGTGTCAAGCGACATGATCAATGTTTCTCTATGGAGAGACAAAACAGAGCACCTAGAACAGACAGTGACCTATGATATGAAAAACACATGAAGAAGCTGGATGGGATTTTTTGTTTTGTTTTTGTAAGTTTTTTTTAAAGAATTAGAACAGTTGCCATTTCCTCTTGATGTCTTTTAGAGTCATATCTAACAATTTGGTGACAGACTAAGGAGATTCTTCTAGCAAGAGGACTCTTCACATGTCCTTCCTCTTTCCCACTGCCCTTCCAATTCCCTTTCCTACATCAGTTTAATAGTACGTAGTGCTATGGCAATTTCTTTTTGGTACAAGTGTCTAGCCCTACCCTACTTCAGACCAGTTCAAAGGGCTTCAAAAACTGCAAACATCACACAAGAGTGTTAGTGCACCAAGGCTACATGAACTACAGCCAACAAACCATACAGGCAGTGGACTTCATGTGCGAGGCTGAGCATACTGAGCTCTCACCAGCTCCTGCCTGTTCAGCATCCTAAAGATTGATAGTGGCCTGAACGGGAATTGTAATTGGGAGTTTTGATCTGAATCAAGCAATTACCAGAAGTGTTAAACTAACTGCTCTACAGAGCAGCGCTCTTTATTATCCAAGGGTGCAGTAAAGGTAGAAGCTTTCTTACAGTAATTTACTTGTGTATCTCAATCTCCGCTCATGTAGGTTTAAAATGATAAACTTAATCGACCGTTACCGATATCTTAAACCTTTCCAACAACTGAGAAGTTATTTAAATGAAAAGAAAATCAAACACAGGGCCACAACCACCATTCTCTGGAGAGAGCAATAACATTTGGCACACCCTAGGGCCCCATTTTGAATTTGACAATCTTGACTGCAATGGTATTATAAACAATATTATGCACAGAAAGACATTAGAAACTTTACAAATATTACTGAAATCTTACAGTACACCTGTGAGGAGGGTAATGTTTTGCTGACTGAACAAGCAATACATAGAGAAGGTGAGGCATAAAAGAGTTAAGCAAGTTGATCAAGTTCACAAAGCAAGTCTGTTGCAAAATAAGAACAGAATTCAATCTCACAATTTGCAGTCTGTGTCTTTTCCCTAAAGTCATTATTCTTCCCCCTTCAGGTTTTTAGTTAGGAGTGCTGTAGCTATCTTGTTTAATTCTTAATTGATACAGACTATATTTTAACATTAAATAATGTGCTTTTTCAAACAGGAAAGTTTTATTAATGCACAGAATTATTTAAATGAAGAAAACCAGAGGAGCTTACCCAAATCCAGAAAACAAGCGACAGAAGAGGAAGAAGCCATAGCCCTGGACAAATGATGAAAGGAAGGCAAAGAATCCATTGACAGACATGCATATCAGGAGTGACTGTCTCCTTCCCACCTTGTCTGCCAAGCCTCCCCAGAAGAATGCCCCCACCATCATCCCAAGGTACACTATGCTACCTGCAACACACAAAAAAAAGATGTTTTATGAGCTACATAACTGACCACAATTGACCACACCAAAAATAGTTGATCTTCTATACTTATGAAACAACAGTATAGAGATTAATTTCTCCTTTCACAGTGAATAGAAATTATATGCATAGATTTGCAAATGTCCCTAGGGAGAATAGATTCCCTACCGTGTCTTTGTCATTTGTTACCAGACATACTGAAGCTTAATATAATTATTAAACAAAATGCCTCTAGCTAAAACAATTAAATAACAGGCAAATAAGACTGAATGGGAGAAAGAATGCCACTATTTCCCCAGTGATAAACTGTATTTATGTTAAACACTGCAAAAAATTGTAACTTCCCCTACAGAAACAAGAACATTTCTAGAATAAGCAGTCCTGTAGGGGATTAATCACTGGGAGTAAGATGTGCTAAGTCTAAAGGAAACTGATTATGAAACAGACACTTTCCATCTGAGTTCTATAGAATCAAAGATGTCCAGCTTGATTGTTGGGTTTTTTTTCCCTACTTCCAGTGTACTGCTTTATTTAAAAGGCACTGTCTTGTATACAGAAAAGCTCTGGAATGCTTTGAGGTTGTTCTCTTTCAAAGAATTTTGAACAGATACACTACAGTTTAGCTACATACATTAAAATGACATAGGGAAAAGTTATTTTGGGGTGATTTTTTTTTTTTTTTTTTGCATTAATGTTTTCAAGGTGAAGTACTTTCCAAAGCAAGGTAAGTTGAAATATTTAACACTCTGGCCATTCACATCTTAGCATACTACACATTATTGCCTTTCCAGGGACAAACCTTCTGTGGGACATTTGGCAAAGGTGCACAACACACTGAGCAGACTGTCAGAAGAAAAAGTAGTTCCCAAGCTTTAGACAGAACCAACCAGATTTTTATTTTGTTTGATACATGTATTACTCTTTTTCCACCTACTTTCTTGTTGAACTTCCCAGATTGGGTTTTATCTACCTAGCAGTTGCTACCATCTTATACATCTACTACAGAGCAGG